GGGAGCGGATACCTGGTGAACAACACGTCCTACAAGGCACCGGCGAGGGAGGAAGGCTACGGGAGAAGGGCTGATACGGAAAGATCGTATCTCACTGTGCGAATATCCAGCCTGACCAAAGAGTCGTCCAGGGATGACCTGGATTCCGGCTTGGGTGAAATGTTCCCCGAAGGCAATGCGGGCTACGCCAGCGACGGAAGCGCCACCGAGGTCTTCGACACACTCGCGCCCTCCAGGGCTGGCGGCCACGGCCCAGAGCAGGGGGCGAAGAGCAGTAGCGAGACGCCCATCGAGCGGGAAATCCGCATGGCCATGGAGAGGGAGGAGAACCTCTGGAAGGAGAGGGGCATCCCGCGGCTGACCTCCAGCAGCGAGCTGGTGGAGATCCAGACCAAGCCGCTCCTCTCCATGTCTCTGTCCCCCCTTCCAGGCAGGAAGGGGAAGGACAAAGGCCGCACTTCCTTCTACGTCCAGCGGGAAATAGAGCAGGAAACGAAGCGCGAGGAAGATCTGAAGAGGGAAGGGAGGCTGCTGGGGACCTACGACAAGGGCACGCCGCAGGAGCTGGACCAGCGCAGGAGGGTGTTCCAGCAGGAGGAGCCGCAGCCGGCCCCGTGGAGGGCAGACGAATCCCGCGGGAGCTGGGTCAACGGCTCCGCGGCAGAGCCGGCCCCGGGTTACGGTCTCAGCCCTGCGGAAGGTGCCGCGGGCGGGAAGAGGAGCCCGGTCTACACGGTGAATCTGACCCAATTCCAGGCCAACCAGCCGCGCTTTGTGGCCGCCACTGGCGAGAGGAGCCGGGATGATCCGCAGATGGACACTGGCGCTTCCGCCCGCGTCAGCAATTGGGCGAGCGAGGATTCCCGGGCAGGAAGGCTTCCCGGCTCCACCCCGAGCCCCGCGGACACGGCCGTCCTGCGCAGGGAACACTTCTCCTTGCCCTTCTGGAAGCCCAGGGTCTCCTTCGTGGACACCATGGGGACGCAAAGCCCCGTGCGGAGGGAGAGGGGGGCGGAGGGGGCAGGCGGCCGCGAGGAGCAGTACTCGCTGCGCACCTGGAAGCCGCACACGTCGGCGCTCATCGAGGAGGAGATCCGGAGCGACCTGCAGCGGGAAGAGCAGCAGCAGGAGCAGCGGCGGCGCTGGCG